AGTCAGAGCCTGTCCCAGATAGGGCGCAAGTGGTGCACTGCACCACGGCGCTCGGGCGCCTAAGGCGCACGAGCGCTCAAATTTTCCAAAAATATGTAAAAAAAAGCACAAAGAGCGCTCAGTATTATAGACAAATGGAAAAAAATGGAGCGCTTAGAGTCGCAATTTTTCGAAAATATATAAACAGGAGATGTATGTATAGAAGAGCGCTCGCATAAAATATAAAATTTTGTTCGTGATGAATTTTTTCGGGTGTGTTTCTTCTCATTTGGCTATTTAATGACTCAACCAAATTTAATGGAAACAATTGATGCGACGAAATAAATAAGAATTGTTGACTGATCATTTGTCGATTTGCTTATCATTTTAAAAAAAAAACACTTCAGATTTTAATCCGAAACGCTGATTTTTACATTTGTTTATAGACAGCAATGTTTTGTTTATTGTATAAAAAATCGATTTGACTGCTGTGAAGGGTTTAACACCAAAACCATTGTGTGACACACGATGGTCTAGCCGTATCGACACAATGAAGCCGCTGTACAAAAATGCTGGCGCAATCATTAGCGCATTGAGAGAAATCGAAAACAGCGACAGTTTCAATTCTGATGTTCAATTGGAAGCTAGATCATTCGCCAACAAGATCAATTATATTAACATTCATGTGTTGTGTTTGTGTTTGGTATGACATTCTCAGTCAAACCAATATAGCATCAAAAGCACTGCAAACGATTCAGTCAAAGTAGACTGAAACTGGATACTGGAGATTTTGCATTGACGTTTCCGACTGTAAACATGACATCAATTCATATGCGTGTGCTGTCAAAGTCACTTTGTCATGCGTCATTCACATTAATGCTTAGACTGATTGTGGTGAACAGTGGTGAGATTGGAAACGCCATACATTTTATATACATTATTTGTTTGGGAATTATATTCATTTATTTTCTTTTATTGTTGATATTCGGGCTCTGCAAAGCCTAGGCTTCATCCACGATTTGTTTTCCAAAGAAATATTTTGAAAAAATCGTGAGTTTGCACTGTCAACACTTGTGTGGTTTTTCATATGATTTTGAAGTCATCGAATATTGTCACCCGTTCACACATTCGATGAACTTGCTACACCAAGTGTTAGTATAGTTCATTGCTGACGTTTTCCAATCCACCATACGTATTTATGTGTGTGTGTACATCAAATTTTCAAAGTTGTCAAGAATCCAACCAAGTTCGTCGTTCTTTGCAAACGGCTGTAACATGTATTGAAAGCGTGAAAAAATTTCTGCTGACCTACAGCGAATATGGTTGCGAGAAAGTGCTTCGGGGCGCATCGACTATTTGTGGGCGCATTGGAATCGAATCGAAATTTGACGACACGAAAAGAACGGACAGAGCAAATATTATTTCTGAAGAAGATTCCCAGACAAAAGTATTTTTGCCAATCATTCAAGGTGCAATTCCTTTAATTGATGATAGATTCACAGCGCTTAATACGTACAGTGACCTGTTCTCATTTTTATACGATTACGAGAATTATGAAATGGATAGAAGGAACGGAACTCTATTAAAGACATGCAAGAAACTTGAGAGGGCTCTCTCACACAACGGCAAATCCGACATCGATGGCGATGATCTTTTTGCTGAGCTCGCAGTCGTTTCAACGTTAACGAACAAGAAGATTGATCATGCAATAGATATTCTAAACGTAATTCAGAAACAAAATATGGAGTACATGCTTCCAAATGTTGTTATTGCATTCCGCATTATGCTGACGATGCCGGTATCAGTGGCGACAGGAGAACGTACATTTTCAAAACTGAAAATAAACAAAAGCTATTTACGAAACTCATTGAATGAAGCAAGGCTGAATGACTTGGCGATAATTTCGATTGAACGTGAAATTGCGAACTCAATCAAAAACGATTATATCATCAAAGATTTTGCGAACTCGAAAGCAAGAAGAAAGAACTTGATCTAATTTCAATATGCTGATTTGTATCTTTTTTGACTTTTTCTTAAATAAACTTGAGAATTCAATTCCATATATTTTGTTTTTTATTGAGGAATTTTACCTATTTTTTTCCTCCTAAGAAAAGGGCGCTTTGACAATTTTGCACCAGGGCGCAAAAGGCGCACGGACAGGCTCTGTAGTTAGTGAATATACTGAAGTTGAGTTGCTTTAGATAGAATATTTGCATTAGATTATGGCTTCTTTGGCCTATACGGTATAGGCTATACCAATAAATAAATGCTTTTTTTGTTTGTGTTATGGATTCGTGTTTTCAGGAATTCGGATAGAAAAAGGTTAAACCTAAAATATATTACTAAGCAAGTTGTTACATGGATTAATTTCGATTTTATTTGAATTACGTAAATTTTGTGTCACTCAATAAACTCAACAATTTGTTTTTCATTACAAAATGTCCGAAATGGCACATTGGAATTTTGTTTTATTCTAATTCTCAAAATTAGTTTCAGACAAAAAAAAATAACAATTTGTTCAATAAATCCGAGTAGAAATTACTGAGCGTGAGAATATTTCTGTAAGAGATTGCATTTGAGTCCCTCCACCCACAAATGTGATTCCTTCCTGTTTAAAGTACAGATAAATCCCGTGTATCATCCTCCACTTGTATTGTTTTTACATTGGAGGGCGTTGCACGCATCTTAACATTCATAATGCAAATTCAATGCAAGTGGAGACGCCCTATGAAAAATGGAAGTGCTACGGTTAATCTGTACTTTGTTGTCTTCCGATTATAAACAACTTTGACTTTGCTGAATAATCGAATTCCGTAATTAAAGAGTGTTTCAGTGCAAACGCAGTGAAAATATGGCTTTATTTTTTACAGCCAACCAAACGAGATAGATGGTCAGCTACGGCTGACGCTCGTTATCCAGATAATTTGCGTGCCGTGAACGCATATAGAACGCTCCGCTGACATTCCGTTTTTGTGACGAGCGATCCATTCAAATTCATGATAGAATCCATGAATTTGTTTGGATACCACGTCACAAAGTCAGAAAAATAATGGATTCTATCATGAATTTGGATGGATCGCACGTCACAAAAACGGAATGTCAGCGGAGCGTTCTATATGCGTTCACGGTACGCAAATTATCTGGATAAAGAGCGTCAGCCGTAGCTGACCATTAGGGTATTTTCGGTATTAAATAAACAGAAAATGGTAGTTTAAGTTTGATAGAGCAGAGAATTTGGAATCGATTTCATATATTTTTGTTCGGAATCAGTCCAAGATGCCACTTCCCACAAGCAAAACAAATGTTCGTCGAATTTTGAGGTTATATCACTATTCGCTGAAACTAATCTGATATTTTCCACTTTTTTCGATTCAATCTCACTGCCAGAGATGAATTCTCAATGCAAACATTTATTTTCACGTAATTTTCATTGGAATAAGTGGCCAAATAGTCAAAAATTCACACAAATTGTATTGCCTCTTTGACCGGTTCTTCAATCATAGAAAAAACACCGACAAACTCATTTTTTTCCACAACAATTCATTCAATAGGCTTGAAATAGACGATAAATTATCTAAATGCACTAAAATATCCAATCGAACAAAACCAGGAAGGCCCAATTGCAGCAAAACCAAAACGTAAACAAAATGAGCTGTCATCATGAAATCTGGGCTTCTTTGACATTTTGAAGGGCTACCAATGCACTTGTGCGAATGAATTACAGTCAATTCGCACACAGTGATTCGCGCAGATGTATTTTGGTCTTGTCAAACATCAAACTAAGCCCGAATTTCATAATGACTCGTTAACACACTCAATCGAAAGGTTGATGAAATCATTAGTAAAGAACAAATCCAATAGTCGCTCTTTTGAAACATTACGTACATGATTTACTTGATGAACTCCCATGCTCATGAGTCCCTGGATGAAGGTGGCCGTGTACTCAGGTGCAAATCTAGTTGGAATCATAATGTTGTCGTCGTCGCTATCGATTGACCATTCCAGACATGCGGCAGTTTAAAATCACCAACAAAAATAAAAACATCTTCAAGATCGGTAGCGATTTTGTGCATGGCCGCTAAATGTGAATCGTAGATTGTTTGCGGTTGAATGTATGCACAGTAGATGTAGATGACGTGTGATTTAGTAGTGGTTTTCACACAAACATATTTCAAATCGTCAATACCGTCAATTTTTATTTCTTCACTGGCGAATTTTTCATTTTCGGTTGCAATTAATACTCCACCGCCACGTTGAAAAAGTCTGTCCGTACGAAAAACGGAATACAAATCGTCAAAAAAATTCAGCATCATAGATGACGGCCTGAGAAGAAGAACCTTTCCTACAAAACCTGTTCGCAGAACACAAACACAGAAATTTTTTAGTCAAAAGGCGAACAGCAAATTTGCGAGCGCAAAAGTATAACAAGCCTACTAGCATGCAAACTCCGTATAAGTAGGCCTGTTATGCTTTTGCGCTCGCTGTAAATATATTAGGTTTTTTCGCTCGCAAATTTGCTGTTCGCCTTACGACTATAAAATTTCTGTATTTGTGTTCTGCGCACAGGTTTTGTAGGAAAGGTTTTTCTTCTCAGGCCGTCAGATATCATCTCTGACCCATGTCTCAGTCAGAATTATCGTGTCGTACTGTGACAATTTTGGTAGTACATTTTACAGTAAAAACGCAGGTATCCGATGTGGCACGATTTAGTGCCATCTTTTGTGATAGCCTTGTGGATTTCCTGCGCAGCGATCATTATAGCTGTAGAGATGGCAGTTCGGTTTCACTTGCGAGAAACAGATCTTCTGGCACAGATTTGTACGTGCTTGCCGGCGTTTCCTTTGTAACTGTTGCTTCATGGAGTGGTTCCTCGTCCGCTGAGCATTCACTTTGCCAGCCCAGTTTTTTGGCTTCGACCGATCAAAAACCTTGTGTTGGCGAATTAATTGCAATCTGGAGATTGCCGGTTTGATATTTTGCTGTGGTTTAGTGGGGACATTCTTCTGGCCTTTTGGTTTCGCGGACGGTTTCTTTTATTTCTCCACAAAATCTTTGATGGTTATTCCTGGCCACAATTTCTCGTCCCGGAACAGGGGATAATGTTTGGCATCAAACTGACACAATTTAGTTTGTCAGTGAGTGTACGTGTCGTGTCGTATCGTTATTGCTCAAGTGTTGAATAATAAATGCCGGGCTGGCTTCCATTTTGAACGGCGACAGATACAGTGATTTAGTGGTGCTGGCTTTCAGTGGCACACGGTGATCTGAGTTTTGACCAACAACAAAATCCCTCAGAATGATTTCACGGACGCCATTCTTTGTAGTAAGAAAATCTATTGTATTGTATTGTATTATGTTTATTAGCGTTAGCTCTTTTGGTTACATTTGTATTTATACATTAAAATTCTCCATTATATGATTTTTGCATTCCATTTTAAATGAGTTTAGTGACGGTTTTTCTCTGATATACATTGGAAGCTCGTTATACATTTTGACTCCATAATAGAATATATTCCTTCTGGTTTTTTCATATTTAAAATTTGGTAGTCTTAGATCATTATTTGTTCTTTGTCTTGTGTTCCTCGTGTGTGCATCCCTTGTATAAATTAGGTTATCGCTTAAGTATTTCGGGAGAAGCCCGTGTCTCATTTTATATATATAGATCAATACATTAAATTTTATCATCTGGTCAATGCTTAGCCAATTTAGTGTTTTTAACATCCATTCTCGGTGTGTACGGTATTCACAATTTAAGATTAGTCTCATGGCTCTATTCTGAATTTTCTGCATTTTTTCTATCTCGTCCTGATTACATGTAAAATATACGGTTGAACAATATTGCAAATTTGGTAAAATGATTGAGTTATAAATAATTTTTTTAGTTGTAAAAGTCAACTTTTTCGATATTCTGTACAGTAGGTTGGTTTTGCTTGCTGCTTTTTTTGTACATATTGCAGTCTGTTCTTTAAACGATAGTGTTTCATCTATGATAACTCCTAGGTATTTAATGCTATGGACTCTATTTATTTTCTCATTTCCTATTTTGATTTCAATTGAATCGTCCACTTCAACACTGTTTCTACTTATTATCATCCAATTTGTCTTTTTAGTATTTAGCATCAGTTTGTTCAATTTTAGCCATGCATAAATTCGGTCGAGATCTTCATTAATTTTTCTTATTGCAATTTCTACGTTTTTCGCAATTACATATATACCCGTATCATCCGCGAATAAGACTACTGAACTATTTTTTGGAATTTTTGTTATCTGATCTATATAAATGCTAAATAATATCACGCTGAGTGCTGTTCCCTGTGGCAGTCCAATTGGTATTTCGGTTTCGTTCGACATTTTATTTTTATATTTTGTTTGTTGTTTTCGCGATTCCAAGTAGTTGGTGAACCATCTCAGCTCTGTGTCATGGATGCCCTTTGCTTGAAGTTTTTCTAGCATGATTTTTCTATCTACAGTCTCAAAAGCACGTTTGAGATCGAGAAAAACTGCTACTATGATTTGGTCATTGTCTTGGGCTTGTTTCCACTCGCTGATAACGTAGTTAATTGTTGACTCGCAGGAGTGGTTTGATCTGAATGCTGATTGGTGTGGCGATATGAGGTCGTTGTCTTCGATGTATTTAACCAATTGATTTTTCCCTACTACTTCAATTACTTTTTCGTCAATTGGTAATGTGTTGATCCCTCTGTGCTCGTCTGCATTCTTTGTATTTGTGATTTTCGGGATTGGAGTCACGGTTGAAGTTTTCCATGCGTTGGGGAAGAGACCAGTTTCTAATGATTCGTTTATTATTTTTACTAGGAAATAACCGCAGTACTCAGATGCGTCAAACCATACTTGCGAATTTAATTTATCCGATTTATTTATTTTTTTCGTTAGGAATTTTAAAATTCGGTTTATTTCATCCACATCTGTTATTTCAAATTTAAATCGGCAATTATTCAGCTCATTTTCATGTATCATTTCAGTTTGTATGTTATCATTTGGTATATTTCTGTTTAATTCAATTATGCTGCTTACGAAATAATCATTAAATTTCTCAGCAATCACATTTGGGTCGGTGTACGAACCATCTCGGAAGACTATTTCGTCACTTGCTTTTTTATTTTTATTTTTATTTGAAATGATTTTATTGATACAGTTCCACATTACTTTTTGATTATTTCCCGCATTTTTTATTTCGTTCTGTGTATGTTCATTCTTTTTCATTTTTATTGTTTTATTATATTTATTCCGTGCATTTATATAGTCATTCCATGCGATATCACATTTATTATTTTTCCATGCATTATGTTTCGTGTTTCTTTCTTTTTTTAGATGGCAAAGTTCATTATCAAACCATTTACTAGGCTTATTTGAGTCTTTTATTATCACAGTTTTTATTAGCGGGCTAACTGATGTGTTTAAATTATGTCTTAGTTTATCTAGCTTATCATTAATATTTAAAAATGTAAAATTGGACCAATCACAATATCTTAAATTAAATATTAACTTTTCTTTATCATAGTTCGACCAGGACATCACAGTTTCATTAACAACTTCTCTTGCACATATTCTACTTATATTGATTAAAATTGTTTCATGATCACTTATTTTTTCGTTTGACAGTGCCTGACATTTCACTCTTTCTCTCACATTTGTAGTTACGAGATCAATTAACGACTGTGACTCATTTGTTATTCTTGTGTTAAATTTTACTATCATTTCATGGCCATGCTTTTCTAATATTTCATTCAATTGCGATGTTGTTCTATTTTTTTCGTTCAAATTTATGTTTATATCACCAACGATTAGATTCATTTTGTTCAAATTTAATGTTTTTTCCAAATATCTGTCAAAAATTTCTGCTGATTGGTTGAAATGTGCACTTGGTGATCTGTATATAACAGTATAAATGCCACAAATATCACAGTCTATAATTTCGATCGAAAGACACCATATTAATTTATCTTCATATTCATTTGCAAGTATTTTGAATTTTAGTGGCTTTCTTATATAAATTATTGTACCACCAGTGAATCTTGTTTGCGAAAAGCACACTACTGAGTCATAATCATTTATTTTATATTCACTGTCACAAATATCATTGGTTATTCTGGCTTCACTTGCTAATAATATTTTTGGTTTTTTATCACGGCACAATATTTCGATTTGTTCGAAATTTGCAATCACACTTCGAGCATTGATGTAAATCACAGAACTGGTCTCTCCCCTTGTTGGTTTCACTGTTGTTGCTGTTGCTGCTGCTGCATTTGTTGCGGGACTTGTTGTTGTTGCTGTATCGGCGGCTGATACCACATCGTGTTTTGGTCGAAAAAATTTTGGTACGGCTGTTGATACGGCATGGCATACACGACTTGTTGAGCTGGTTGGTATTGCGTTGGTTGATTTCTTCCGGTCGTGTAGCCTTTGTTGAATCGTCTCGGTGTCTCATTGACAATACGCCGTGGTTTCTTCCAATTTGTATTTTCATCACCCTTAGCAAATCGCGGGATGAAATTTCTACGCCGCGTATTTGGTTCAAACGTTTTTGGCGTTTTTGGCGTCATTGGAGTCATCGGATTGTTCACTTTGTAACCAGTACCACGATTCCATTTCCTTTGCAACTTTGGCTTTGGGTTGTAGTCGGTTGCTGTGAAATTAGGTGCCCATAACTCTTTATTCATGATTTGTTCGTATGTTTGTTTGCTGACAGTTGTCACTTTGAATGCTTTGTGTAATAACAAAATACGTTCTTTGCAGATATACATATTCGAAGTATCTGTAAAAAAACTTATTTTGTTATTTACAGATTTTCTTACTCCAAAGAATGGTGGCCGTTTGGAACTCAGGAGCGCCGAAGGGAAGCGATAAAGCAATTCTTTATTTTGAAATAGAAAATATATCTTCTGAAATCAAAGAATTGCTTTATTGCTTCCCTTTGGCGCTATTGAGTTTGAAAATAAGAAGACATATGTATTAAAAAACGCTCGAGTGCCTTTGGCGCTCTTTCGTTCAATTCAAAAACATTGCAAATATTCAATTTATAAAAAAGTATATATGTATATTTCTTTTAGGTAAAGAACCAATCAACCCTACCACTGTGACTCTGTGCTATTTTTTTTATAACAGCATATGCTACTCATGACAGAACATTGAACGTACTATCGGCAAGTAATGCGTATTGCTATTCGTAGTGTTTGCTACATAATCGGCTAGGGGGAGACACGAAATTTGAATGAGTAAAATTAGAACATTGTTCAACGATAATAGGGAAAATAGAAGAAATTAGTGAGTTTGGTTTGCCAATGTTAACGCTTATGGACGTATTGTTTATTGTTCACAAAATAATCCCGTTAGGTCTTCCATAAGCGTTGTATTGACAGTGTAATACGCTCTGTAACCGATTTTACTAGAAATAATAGCACAATATTAGCACTTTTGCACCAAAACTAGAAAAATTAGAGGACATAAAGCAAAAAATATATAAAATTGAATGTAACTAGACTCTACTAGAATTTGTGTCTCACCCCTAGATAATCGGCGATGCATACGTTCAATGTTCTGTCAAAAGCAAGTAAACAGTTCTAATTTAGTTAAAACTGGTAGAATGGCACAGAAAAGTTACTCCTTCTTTGACAATTTTTTCTAAGATCATTGAATCCGCAACTGATTCAATCACTGATCGTTTGAAAGTACTAAAGCAAGTTGCTTTAAGCAACACAACGAATTATTCTCGTTTCTTTATTATTTTGTAAACTATGAAGTGAACTACAGCTGTCAAAAATCGGTATTTTATTAATATGTTAATAAACAACATATTTTAATAATTAATAAAAATTTTGAAACACCATATTTATTAACGTTAATAAATATAGTGCATTTTATTAACATATTAATAATTATTAGTATGGTGAATTTTCGGTTATTAATATGGTGTAGATTTTATTAAAATGTTAATAAAATGTGGTTATTAATATGGTGCCGATTTTATTAGAATTCTAATAAAATCGACAACATATTGGATTTTATCCGATTTCATCATGTTCACATCAAAGTCTATTCAACACAGCGTTTAGATTAAGACAATCATTTATCACGGCAAAATCAAAAAAAAATGAGTCTGGAAATATTTGACATGATTTTTGTATGAAACTTTTCTTCGCAATTTTTTTTAAAAGTTTCATATAAAATTCATGTCAGTTTTTGCCAGACGACAAAATCTCGATGTAAAATGAGTCTGGAGATATTCGACATGATTTTTGTATGAAACTTTTCTTCACAATTTTTTTATAAAATCGACAATTTTTTTATTAGAATTTTAATAAAATGTAGTTATTAATATGGTGCCGATTTTATTAGAATTCTAATAAATTCGACAACATATTAATAACCACATTTTATTAACATTTTAATAAAATCTAAACCATATTAATAACCGAAAATTTACCATACTAATAATATTAATATGTTAATAAAATGCACTATATTTTATTAACGTTAATAAAAAATTCATTTTATTAAAGAATTAATAAATTATTAATATGTTAATAAAAAAATATGTTAATAAATTATTAATATGTTAATAAAGTGACAGCTGTAAAGTGAACGGAAACAATGAAAATTTGCAGAAATAATGCATTGCTATAGAAGAAAGAAGTTGCTTCAACGTATGATGGAAAATCTGTTATTGATGGTGATGATTCACTGATGTTCTATTTACCATTTGTAGAATTCGCATTGGATTCTACTTTGATAAAACAAGATAAAGTTAATCACACAATCGATGGTTTCAATCCAGAAGCGAAATAAAGAAAACTTAGTTCCAAATGCGGTTATTGCATAAGGCATTTTAATGTATCGTCCTTTTGTTGCTTTTCAAATTATTTTGGATAAGTTTTCTCATTTTTACGTTCTTTCGTGGGGGAGTTCCCTTTGTGTTGAAAGGGCGCCGACCGATGTCTCTGCATTTATCCAATTTTCGTTTTGTATTAGGTTATAATACGTAATATATGTATATTTGCATTACAGGTAACTAACACTGGCAAGGAGGAACGTTTCTGTGAAGAATGTGTAGCGATTCCTCCAAACACGAAAATTCACTCATCTTTCATTTCACAAGAAAATCAAACATCTGCGAAAGCCTCAAACAGTCCAAAACTTGCAACAGCCCAACAACACAATCAAAACTGTACCAATTCACATATTATATCAGACAATGATGATTCATATGACCCGAATGCGTGTGCTGGTTGTAGAGAACCATTAAAAGAAGGTCAGGCGTTGATCGCTTTAGATCGGCAATGGCATATAACTTGTTTCAGGTGAGTAAATATAATTGACAGGAGAATTCTTTCAATTTGGATTCAATTGGCATAGTTTAATAATAATGAAAAAACTACACCTACCTCAAGATCAAGAAACATGTTTCGTTTACATTGAACTTGGGCCATTTTGTATAGAATTGTGAGGCATACCATATTAAAGGGTATAGTGTGTAGATAAATTATTTTTTTAGGAAGGGGTTTGAATTAGGGATGTGTGTATAACCCCAAAATTAAGATATCGCTCCCGAAGGCCATAGCTCCCAAACTACGGGGGAAGGATAACTGTGGTAATGTGAGCTGCAAAGTAATACAATATAACAGTGGAATGAAGCAAGAGAGAAATGAAATAACAACTTGTTCTGTTGGCGTTAGTCGCGAGACTGAAACATAATGCACTTTAATAAAACATTATTCATATGTGACAATTCTACATTTCACATTCTCCCCGAATTGATACATTTGTTAAACTGTTTTATTATCCCTCGTTTACATTGTTAGGATTTGCATTTCGATTATTATTCTGCTGATTGTACTTTCTTTTTAAATTCTGTTTGAATTTAACGTATAGGTAAGTCCCTATCTTAAATACTTCAATGGCACACATGAAATACATAGCGTATAACATTTTCACGTTCAACTCTGCCTGAGTGCGCACATCTTTTGCTTGCTGTTGGATCACCACATTGTTGTTAACATGCCCGGTTGATTCCACAACTTTTTCCTCAGTTCTTTCCTCGGAACTACCAAATATGCCCATTCTATTTAATTTAAACAAAAATTACAATTTATGAACTTAAACGGGTAAAATTATTCCAAATGAACTTTATATGGGCCCTTCACAAATAATACATACTTGAAAATTGAAACAATGACAAAAATGACAATACTATTCTCAAAATGATTCAAATGTTAAAATTTTATGTTGACTCTTCAGATGCCAATAAACGAATGAATTATTGATAGTTTTGAAAACCTGACAAACATGAACATTTTACAAAAATTGTTTACTGTGTAGAATACCAAAATTGAAAATGAACTTTATTCTCAAAAATATATACCAGTCAGCAGAAAAATTTGAATATGCTATGCTGTTGTTATGCCCAACTTTCTTATTAGTTCATTGAACTGCTGTGCTGGCAAAGCTTTTGTAAACACATCAGCAATCATTTCTTTCGATGGAATGTATTCAGTAATGAAATAATCGCGTTCATACTTTTCCCTAATAAAATGGAACCTAACATCAATATGCTTCGTTCTTTTGTGATATTCTGGGTTTTTAATCAATCGAATGGCACTGTTGTTGTCCATGAATAAAATGATTTTTAAAACTTTTGCATCCAGAATAAAATCGCTCTCGCTTTCGACCGAAATCTCTCCAACAAGAATTTCGTAAAGTAATTTTCTCAGCCAGACCAATTCTTTTACGCATTGTGCAGCAGCCATGTACTCGGATTCGGCGGTAGACAAGGAGACGGATTGTTGTCTTTCTGATCCCCAGCTTATTGCTCCATTTCCGAAGATAAAACCGTAGCCGGAAGTAGATCTTCTGGTTGTGATGCAGCCCGCATAGTCCGCGTCGCTGTATCCATGCAATTCATGTGTTTTACTACTTGAAAAAAGAATACCATGATTAAAAGTTCTTTTAAGATATTTCAAAATGCGCTTAGCTGCCCGTTCGTGTGTTACTGTTGGTTTTTCGAGAAAACGACTTGCAATGCCAACGGCATATGCAATATCCGGCCTAGTGCCGACTGCTAAGTACATCAAACTCCCAATCAGTTCACGGTATGGATAGTTCGATGCGTCTGATTCGTCGTAATTGAACATTGCTTGGCTTGGGTCCGCCGGTGTGGCGACACCATGACAGTTATCCATATCGAAACGGCACAACACCTTCTTTACATATGTTGATTGAGTTGTCCTCCCTTCTTTGAATTTCAATCCCGAGAAAACAGTCAACATCCATTTCTTTAATTTCGAACTGTTCTCTGAGATGTTTGATCACCGCGTCCGAAATCGATTGGATAAAACCGAAACGCCTGATGAAGGATGTGAACTTCACGTTCCAACACCTGCTTGCTTGCTTGAGGCCGTACAAGCTTTTCTTCAGTTGACATACACGGTTTGTTCCGTCGTTGAAACCAATAGGCTGTTCCATAAAAACTGTTTCTTTGAGTATGCCGTTCAAAAAGGCAGTTTTAACATCAAATTGTCGAATTGACATTTTTCTTTGGGCAGCCATCGCCAAAATCAATCTGATTGACGTAAAACGTACCACGGGACTGAATGTTTCGAAATAATTTACCCCGTATTCTTGGGTAAATCCACGCGCTACTAGTCGTGCTTTGTACCGCATATTTTTCTTTTCTGCTTTCACTTTAAATACCCACTTATTATCGACAATTTTCTGGTTCGTTGGTCTTTCTACGAGCTCCCACGTATTGTTTTTAATTAATGAGTCGAATTCCTCTTTCATGGCTAGCTTCCACTGATTACAATTTTCATCTCTTAAAGCCTCCTTGTAACCATTTGGTTCACCGACCACATAAGCGATAGCTACATTCATGTTCAACACTTCAGCATCACGAGACTTTGATCGTGTTTGCATTACGTTGCTGGTTCCGTCAATCCTGGCTCTGGTTTGATAAGTTGGATCATCTAAAGGTGACCGGTCATATTTTCCCCGGTCATAACTTCCCTCATACAAAATGAATGGAGAATTTATGGCCGAAATGACGGAGAAAATAATTCCATTTCAAATTTGGACATAAATTCCCCATCTAAAAAATTTTGATTAGAGAAAATATGTCCAAAAATCAGAAGAAATTATATCCAAATGCATATGGACATAATTTCCCGGGGAAATTATGACCAAAGAGTCAGTGGAATTATATCCAATTGAAAATGGACATAATTTCCCCACGTATTTTTCATCGAATAATTGTACATAAATAATGAAATTAGCGTCACTTGAAGCGTTATTATTGAATGTAAAAAAAATTGGCCCAAAATGTTTGTTTCTTCTTCTGCCACATTTCACGTTCATCGTGATTTGTGGCACTCTCACTTGCTTGAGTGAGCTGCACTCGTCGTTCTTTATCTAACGCGAATTGGAGGCGAGAAATGAGTCCACTTTTTTTTCCACCAATTTTTAAATTTCTGTCCGATTACTCTCGGCGTAATTCGATTACGCGCAATTTTGTTGGCTCAACCATTTTTTTTTATTTGAACACGAAATAAAAATAAAATTGATTGAAAAAACTCAAAACTTTAGCACAAATTGACTTGCTTGTCACTCATGTTACTTCAGACTGAAGTGTGAAAGTGCTCAATATCATCGCATTTATTATTTGTTAATTCATAGAAAAGAACAAATTGTTCCATTTAATTTCATAAAATAACTCGAAAACTTTGTTTTAAACGGTTAAAAACAGTAAATAACAAATCGCTATTTCTTCAATAATATTGCTATTTTTTGCTATTTTTGCTATTTTCCTCTAGTATTTATATGAACTTCAAAAAAATAGCTAATGGTGTCTCTCCCCATGCGTTTACTCCAACCGACCCAAAATTCCAAGAATTCTGGGCTAATCGTCACATTTCTCATTCTCCATCTCTTCTTCAAT